ATATTTGCTCTGTACATCACTGTGGTTGCCTTTTCTTTTTTTTACGAAAAAAGAAATTAACGTGTTCTTTAAACAAAGGGAGAAGTTTTTTTCAGACATAGGTAGAGTCCATAATACATTCTAGAAGAAAGCCAGCTATAAAATGCTGGCACCTTAGCATGTTTCTTAATGTCCCCTGACAAACGGTCTCTCTGTGTGTGCATGTGTCCCTTTTCCAAGCAAGCTATAGAAACACCAATGGCACTAGTGACTTTCAGATCTCAGGCTGGCTTTACCTTCCCTTAGCCAAAGTCCACTCTTAATTTGAAAGGCATGTTCAAAATCATCACCATCATTATTATTTGCATTTATTAATCACTTACTACATAAATTGTCTTAAAGTGACTTAGAATTACATAAGCTTTTACCCAGTTGATGTATATGTGGCAGAATTTTGCTTTTCTGGGTGAATAATTTGGATTGCTTGGACAGGTAATTTTAGTGAAGTAAACAGTGTGGGTTATATCCTTAAATGTTAGCTTCCTTATTAACTACCCAAGACTGAAACATTGTAACTTCCCTGGTCCTATCAGTTTGGCAGCTATAATTATACTCTCAGCTGTTACCACCTTGTTTTGTCTTGTGTTAATCTTTCCAGAAGAGGAATATCTCTTGAATGTATGTATAGAAACATGATTGATCAGCAAAATACGAATTTCTCATAGTGTTACAGATGCTGTCACTGGGACATTTGGAGCATATCTGTCACTAAAGACAATGTCATCTCATTTTCCCTCTATGGAGGACTATTTTGCAATAGTGTAGTCATCCTTTATAAGGAAGTAGTATTCTCCTTTTCTGGTAAATAGAAAATCTTGCAGCTCTTGTTTCATTAATACTAATAAATGCTCACAGCGTATTTGTGCTAATTTGGAGAAAATCCAAAGTCCGAGTCATATTTACGGGTGTTAAAGTACTTGCCAGTCAGAGCTTACAACATGGATTGATGAATCATTGGGTCCGAACCCTACTCCAGTATGTGATGAGATCACGTGATGTGAACCAAACAAGTTCAGGTATAGATGACAGAAAAACAGGTGGTGATAAATACTGCCTGAGAGTGTGTGCCTGTTATGCCTCCAACTAGGAATGCTGTTGGTACCTTGTTTAACACAAATCAGGAGTTGAACATTTGATACACACATTCTGGATGAGAGATTAATATTTAGCCATGCATGCCACATGTTTCAATTATGCATTGTTAGTTTCAAGTAGCAGCCAGAAAGCTTTTTTGGAAGCACCCAAACACAGCATTAAAATAATGGCCAGCACCATTTATTGTCCCCAGTGCCTGGTGTTCAGAGGTGGTATACTCTCTAGGATCATGCAGTTTCTGTTTCTTGTTGTGAAATAAATGCGGTAAACTTGCAGTTTTCTACAAATTCTTGACATGAAAACATGCTTTTCTTAGAAATGTGGGTGTATGCTTTGGAGGATAAGATGATGCTAGGTTGTTCTGAGTTGGCAGGGAGTGAATTTTATTTTGTGTCTTAAAAAAATGTAGGATAAAGGAAGAAGAACCCAGTGGGAATTCCTGTGACTCCAAGCAAATAAGCAAAAACCTGGATGAGAGGACAAGTTCCCACATTCCTCTAAAAGCAGAAGATAACCCAGATGCAGACAGTGACTTGGAAATGGATACTAGTGATGAGGAGAACAGTGCTAAAGCACACACAAACAGCGGAACTGCACACACAAACAGTGGAACTGCACACACAAACAGCGGAACTGGCAACAAAAAGGAGAGTAGGCAAGGCCACTCTGACCGTAGTGGGGAGAGTTCCAGGCATCACAGGAGCCGAAGGGACTCAAGGTCATCCAGCGAGGAGAGAAGCTGCCATCAAAAGGTGCCTTCAAGTCATCCAGAGAAAGAGGAGGGTGGCGGAAGGAAGGAAAAAAGTGGGCAGCACAGGGAAAAGGAACGCGAGAGAAGACACAAAGACCATGAAAAAGAGGAGCGCTCTAGACCCAAGAACCATCATAGGAGACGGGAAGAGCAGGATGAGAAGCAGAGGAGAAAAGACAGGAAAGAGAGGGATGATTATGATAGAGATCTGAAGATGTGGAGAGACAGGGAGGAAAGGTATTCTGAGTGGGAACAGCAAGAGAAAGAGAGGCACAAAGAGAGGCACAGGGAAAGGGACAAAGGGGCACAGGAACACAAAGAGGAGAAACAGCAGCAGCAGCAGCAAGAAAGGAAAAGTAGTAGCCCTGGGCCCTTGGCGAAAGATTGCCATCGGGCTCCAGAAAGTGATAGTAGGGAAGAAACCCCCCCCAACTCTGAGAGATCGTTAGAATTGAAGCACAGGACTTCAGGGGTGGGAGCAGAGGAAGCAGAGAAACCTCCAGAGAGCCAGAGCAAATTTGCAAAGCGTAGTAACGAGGAGACAGTGATGTCAGCAAGAGACCGCTACCTGGCTCGGCAGATGGCCCGCGTGGGCACCAAGTCTTACATAGAAAAAGAAGAGGATTAGGTTTCCTTTCAGGAGGAGCATATCAGGAAGGTGACATGTTCTTATCGCTGGTGGGAATACCAAGGCAGGAGGGAATTGTACACAGGAATTGAAGTACAGTAGCTTCAGGCCATTCATTTTAAGAGGATTTTAAAAAAGGGTATCCTTTTCTGCAGGAGAAATGGATAGAGAGGTATGACTTTTGGACACAGAGTATATAGCTTGATATGGGTCTGTTCACACTGACAATCTGCACCTCAGTACCTGCTTATGCTCTGTCTTTTCAGTGCAGTGAGCTCCAGCCTGTGGCTAATAGCCTCACAGAGGCTTCCTTTAGATCATGAGCGGGGAGCCTGTGGCTCTCCAGATATTGCTGGGCTACAGCTCCCATCACCCTTGGTCCTGTTGGCTGCTGGGGATTGGAGCCCAACAACAGCTGGAGGGCCACAGCGTCCTCATCCCTGCTCTAGAGCCTTCTGTCCAGCCACAGGTACTAAGGGAAAATAAGTGTGAAAACCAAACTTAATGAGGAATACAAATAAGCCCAGAAGCAAAAATTATTATTGTTTTGTTTTATTTTTTAAAAAAACACCACCACCACCGCTTAGTTCCACAGTGAACTTAAATGTGGGGAGTCTTTGTTTGGAGTTTTGTTAATTCTTCTGTGCAGAAACATTGAAATAAAATGAAAGATGTGAATCTTACGCTGCCCTTGACACTGTTTTGTGTTTGTGTTACTTCTTAGTCGCACCCTTCAAGCATGATAAAGTGACATATACGTAAGGGGGAGAGAGAGTCAGCAGTGCCAGTCATATGCTTGGCAGGGGAAGTTCCTCACACACAGGCTGTTGTGTGAAGGCTCTCTGGATCAGGCCCTGTGTGTTATAAGACGCCAAGGTTTTATAAAGCTGTCATAAAAGACACTCCTACCTTTAGCTTGGCAAAGTGAGAACTTTGGCAGAGGGAATGTTTTCATAATATATTTTCAACAAAACCCTTGGAAGCACTCGTCCTTCTTACCTCACCTCCCGGTAACCTCCTCTTCTAACAGTGATGCATCAGCACCAAATTATTTTGGAAGTTTGAAGTTAAAAAAAGAAGAAGAAAAATTCAAATCACTATTGTTACTTTTACTACGCTGCTTACGATTGAGAAATCAGTTTTGGGGGTTATTAACTCCCTCAGTTGCTACGGCCCTACAGTGCAGGTTTGAGGGCTTTTGGGGTATTGTGTGCTGTCATTTACCTTGCTGAATTAAGTCTTAATTTCTTGCAAGCCTTTTGTTTTGAAGCATCATGTGTTTTTTATCCTGTGTCCTGGGAAGCCACCGGGAAGGAAGTTTGTATCTTGCTGTTGTTATGGAGACCATAGTGATGGTGTCTTTGCCAACTCCAGAAATAGAGATGTGCTTTCCTAGTGCTTTGCGAGCGTGTTTTCTCTCTCCCCCTCTTTCCCTCTTCTGAGTTTTTAAGGAGGGAAACAACAAGGACCGTGTCACTGATAACGTCACAGGATTGTATTTCTGTTTAGATTTCGGCAAACACCAGTTCTTATTTGTGCCTGATACGTCTTGGGCACTAATGAGCTTTTTCTACCTCTAGGGTTTTTACTTGGTGCATTTTTTCAATAAACTTTAAAAGAGGCCAACTATCTTACAAATGTAGTGAGTTTGCTAAAATAAGGTCCAATGCAGTTGTGTTTTCCTGCCTTCCAGCATAATTTATAGACTGATCTTTCTGTATTTTATATGTTGTGAGCCACTTTTTTATAGCTTATGAAAGGGTAGATGATGGTGATTTAATGTGTTTATATTGTGCGTTTCTTCCAAGTTGGGATTCAAGGCGGCTTACAGCATTTAAAAAGCATTCTTTTAAAATACAAAGTAATAAAAACAAACTGGTTGAAAACAATAGTTGAAATACAATAATGCACGTTTAGAACCAACTTTAAAATATCAGTTGTCCTGACAGACCAGTTATCAACATCTTCTGCACCTAGCTTTCAAAGGTCTGGCTAAATAGGAAGGTCTTAGCCTGCTGGCAGAAAAAAGGAGGGAGCCAGTCAAACCTCTCTTGGGAGAGAATTCCACAATACAGAGGAACCACAGAAAAGGCTATGGAACTCCACTAGGAGGAAAGGTTACAATATTTGGGGCTTTTTAATTAAGAAAAAATGTGAGTAAGGGGTGATGGTGGACAAGACAGAGGTGTATAAAATTATATGTGGTGTGGAGAAAGCGGATAGAAGCTTCCCCCCCCTTTCATAATACTAGAACCTAGTAACGCAGGGATGGGCAATATGTGACCCTATAGATACTGTTGGACTCGATTCCCATCAGCCCATGCCAGCAAGCACAAAGGATAGAGATGATAGTGATTGTAGTCCAGCAACACATGAAGGGCCACAAGTTCCCTGTTCCTGATCTACATCAACTCACTCATTTTGATGAAGATGTTTTCCTGCCAGAAATATTTTAATTTTAATAAATTGCTTCCTACCAGACAGAGGGGGGATACAACTGTCATTTTATTATGATATTAAATTTATTACAGTAACAGTTTACATCGCAAGGCACATACTGATGACATACAATCCAGCTTGGGACATTCAACATAACCAAAGCAGCAGCAGCATAAATTAATACAGGCGCATTTATATACAAGTTAAGAGAGGAATGCTTTAGTTTTGTAAAATAAAACTCCAGTTTTAATTTCTCCATACAAAAAGGTAGACATGGTCCCAATTCACACAGTTGCCTAAATAAGCGCCCAAGCCAACCTCTTGCGCAGGTCCCACTTGTTTTAATGTGGCCTGTGCAGCAGAAACACTTGGTGGGTTACTTCCATGTACCAGAAATTGATTTAATACTGTTTTCTTTGGAACAATTAATGACTCCGTGGGTAGGTGTGTTCAGAACAGCAGCATCTGTCAAAAGGCCTAATAAACTGTAATCTCGGCACTGTGTGTGTTTAGTGTAGCTCAGTCTTCCAGCTAATTACACCTGTTGTTTTTGCAACAGCAGTAAACATACAAGTTTAATGCCTCTGCCAGCTTTCTAAGTTTGGAGTTCAGCGCTCATAAAAGAGGCTTTCAAAAGTGAGAGCCTCACTTGTCACTGCCTTCCATGTCTCCTGATGCAGAGCTGCAGTGGAGCACAGCTCCTATAGAGTGGTTGCATATAATGAACAGCTCTGTGCCCACTCCATTAAAAAACAAACAAAAACCCAGTTAGGACACTTCTTAAGAAGTAGTCCTCTATGTGTGGCTACACTAGGCTATGGGAATATTTGCTCCCTGAATGCATTAGACTGCTATAACAAGCACATAGCGCTATAGGTAAAAAGATACACCTGTATGGTGGCAAAAATGCATTCCTGTACACTTGCACCTGGAGTGGTGGGTGGGTGAACAGCTGGGGGAGCAATGCAGGTGGTGAACCCCAGCATACATTTGAACACCAATGTAGTGTGGCAAGGTGACGATTTAACAGTCTTCTGAAATGTCTTGCAGCAGGTGGCAGTGAGCAGACCACTCCACCCCACAGCCAGCACTGGATGGCTTCACCACTTCAGCTGAGATTGAGCCCCTTCTTAGGACCAGGTACAGAATTAGCAGGGTCATGTGGTGCAGTTGTTGCAGGTCTGTACCACTTCGGTGTAGGTTTCATGTCTGAATGCTCCTCCGTTTATCTAAAGCACATAATCCCTACATATAGATAGCTTATTAGATAAAAGGGTCTTTCTTTCTCTTCTGATAGGCTATTTTTTTGGAGATAACTAGTGGGGTCCCCCCCAAAAAAATCTTTACAGGTAGATACACTTTCCTTCCTTCCTTCTGCAGCAAGTCTAGCAGAACTCCAGAAGACCCGCAGTTCTATACAAGCTCAACACTTGCACAGGGGGGTTCAGTAACGTCTCTCTTCCAGGTGTTGAGCAGAGGCCCCATTCAAACCATGAAACTTTGTCTGCATATTAATTTGGTAAAATGCATTGGGTTGGGCTGGGTGAGTTCCCATATTTCTTCAGCTAGGTTGAAAACAGTGAGGTCCCTAGAAGCATATACAACAGGTTCTATTACAGAGGATCACATTGAGAGTGATAACAGGTGTGTCGGCACAGACAGATGAGTTCTAAATATAATCCTAAATCGCGACAGTTGTCCTGACAAGAGGCTTGAGTAAACCATGCATGCATTCAGATGGCCCCTTGCCCCACCCACCATGGATGGAGTAACGGATACTCATTCACACTTGAGCGCATCCTCATGTTTCCAAAACAAAAAAACCAGTGCAGTGAATCGAAACTCAGAAGAGAGCCTGGTGCTAAGGAGTGCAGCCAGTCTTTAGTTTCAGACGATCAGCGGCCCTAATCTTTTGTCACCACACTTCTGCCTCTTGTCACAAACACACTTCTCAGTGGAAATTCAGTTCTTTGGGAAGGAGCTTCAAAGCAACAAGAGAGTCAAGGAGCTAGTGAACCCCCTCCCCCCACACACCTCCCACTAACAGCTGTTTAGGCAGCATTCATACAGATGTCACCAAAGGGAATCTCTGTGGCTGTTTCTGGAGTAATGCTTTTTAGAATACGCTGTGGAGGAAGGAGAAAAGAGACAGAATGTTAGGGAGATAGCAGGAAACTGGTTTCAGGTGAGACAAGAGCATATCCAAGGAGCAAAGGGTGCCACCGTCGGAGGCTGGTCCACTTGGGGAAATAGGGCACTGCCCCACCAACCTCGGTCTGTTCTCAGCCAGCCTTCTTAAAACCAGTCCAGGGGATGGAGCTACCTGACAGCTTCCTCATCCTCCTCAGTCTCAGTGTTGCCCCTTGTAGAACTCAGTAGGGAGGAGGGGGACAAAATAAGAGTTAGTTGCCTCTGCCTGCAATTGGCTCTGGCTGCACCTACTGCTGGGCTCCCTGCCTTCCAGTCCCAGAGGGCACCAGCCACCACTAAGGGCGCAAGAACAGGAATTTACAGAGCAAATGGCTCCAGATGACTGATGCTGTGAGCCAGACTTTTTCTGTATTGGCCCATGTATCCAAGATCAACCATATTTTTTCTGTTTTGGCTGTTTTACGCACAACTAAGTTTTCTTCTCAGAGTTGACACATTGAAAATAATGGACCAAGGTTAGTCATTCCCGTTAATTTCAAGCAGTCTGTTCTTGAGTATGACTCGCATAGGATACAATTCCTGTGTTTGCCATATGATAGATGTTCAGAGTCATAACAGGAGATGCTAGAATATCCCACCAGGCAGGGCAAGAACTAAAAGATGATGTCGGAAAATGCCCAGACGAAGCACTGAGTTTGCCATGAATGTTTATTCGAAGCCGGCTGCGCTGAGAAGGGTTACTCCTTCAACTCAATCCACAGGCAGGGGCACATTGCTCAGTGCAGTCCTATAAGTTTCCATTGGAGGAAACCCCACCCGCTTTCAGTTTATAATCAAGCACGGACATCGCTTATCTTTAAAACTCACTAACTGTAAAGAAACAGTTTTTCAAAAGAAAAGATGAGGAAGTGGTAGAGCAGCCTTCATTGACTTGGTACCCTCCACCTGTTGTTGGACTGCAGTTCCCATCATCCCTGACCACCAACCATCTTGGCTGGGTCTCATAGGAACAACAACATCTGGGGGGCAGCAGGTTGGTGAAGACTGAGATATAGAGTTGGATCTAGAGCAGAGCTTTCCAAACTGTGTGTCGCGACACATTGGTGTGTTGGCTGCAGTGTGTAGCACAAATGTTCCATGTGCTCCTCCTGGGTTTGCTAGTAAAACTGAATTACAGTGGTACCTTGGGTTAAGTACTTAATTCGTTCCGGAGGTCCGTACTTAACCTGAAACTGTTCTTAACCTGAAGCACCACTTTAGCTAATGGGGCCTCCTGCTGTCGCCGCGCCGCTGGAGCACAATTTCTGTTCTCATCCTGAAGCAAAGTTCTTAACTGAGGTACCATTTCTGGGTTAGCGGAGTCTGTAACCTGAAGCATATGTAACCCAAGGTACCACTGTACTGTGTCGCGAATTGATACATGTCTGAAAAGTGTGTCCCCAACATGAAAAGTTTGGAAAGCTCTGATATAGAGGATTCACCCCAAGGACTTAGCCTTAGCTATGGAGGAGTGGATACTGGACTAGATGAGCCATTGGTCCGATCCAGAAGTCAGGCTCTTCTTATGGTCTCCTACCTCTTTAAGTGTCCCTGGTGTGGTTGCCAACCGATAGACCATGTAGGTGGGAATGCAAATGAAGGACGAGGTCCCAATACAGTAGCCCAACACCACAGTCCAGTAAGGATAAGTATAGTCGAAGAGGCGGAGTTCTGGAGGACTCGACATGAAGCTGCAAATGATAAACTGGAGAAAAGCCAAACATTTAACTCACAGGAAATGGGGCTCTGGCAGAGGGAGGCATCTCTACCATGAGATAGCAGATTGGGAGCTCCATTGAGAAGTCACCCATGGGTCTCAGCAATAAAACTGCTAGCACAGTTGTAAAGCTAAGCAGGGTCTGGTATGGTTTCAGATTGGATGGGGGACTACATGTTGAGATTCCTGCATTGTAGGGGGTTGAACTAGATGACCCTCGGGGGCCCTTCCAATTCTACTGTGATTCTGATTAGGGCTGCTGGATCTGGCTGCAGGGGCACAAGCCCCACTGGAAGACGCAAGAGGCATGCAAATGTGACCATTTTTACCCACTGTTCCCAGCATTCTGTTTGCTTATATGCAATGTTTGGGGATTGTATGTATAAAAAAGTATATTGCAAACAGAGATGTATGTCAAAGAAGCAGAGGGGAGGTGGGGAGAATGAGCGCTTTTTCAAGGGTTAGGAGAGTAGGTATAGATCAGGCTGGGCTCCCTGCATTATTTTATTTTGAAATATTTATATGCCTCTTTTCTGGATAATGCCCATCTGAAGTGGCTTACAACAACACAAGATTTGTTAGCCACTTTTTGCCATCAATCTTTGCCGCTAAACCTCTCCTTTCTTGCCAGATGCGGAGTGCTGACTTCACTGAAAAGGCTAGCAGAGTTAATTTAGGAATGGGATTAAGCCTTCATTTAATAGTGCCAGAAATAGCTCTGCCAAAGCAGGGGCAGGGGCTCCTACTTACGCCCTTTAATTTTAATCTTAATTTTTTGCAAAGGATGCCATCTACTTTTGTTGAAGTTTATCTAGATGTCTCCTGAAGGTGGGAGTTAATTTTTATGCTCCTCCAACTCACCCTCATTCCCACTTTGTATTAGATTTTTAAAAATGCATTTGTTCAGAGAAATTAGTTATCTCTCTTAAAAAAAACCTACTTAAAACAATTGCACAATTAGTGCTTTAATGTACCGTATTTTTCGCACCATAGGGCGCACCGGACCATAGGGCGCACCCAGTTTTTAGGGGGGGAAATCAAGGGAAAAACTATTCCCCCCCCAGCCCCAAAGAGCAGCGTACAGGCTGCAAACAACCTCTCCCTGCCAGAGGGGTTGCACGCAGCTATGGACCAAGCCAAGGCAGCGAGCGGGATGGATCCCACTCGCTGTTTTGGCTTCCCCTTTAGCCCCGTGCAGCCTCTCCTTGCCGGGAGACGCTGCGCAGGGCTAAAGAATCCATAGCCCCGTGCAGCCTCTCCTTGCCGGGAGACGCTGCGCAGGGCTAAAGAAGCCATAGCCCCGTGCAGCCTCTCCCTGCCAGAGGGGTTGCGCGCGGCTATGGCACAAGCCTGCATTCGCTCCATAGGACGCACACACATTTCCCCTCAATTTTTGGAGGGGGAAAACTGCGTCCAATAGAGCGAAAAATACGGTAATTTCCTGAAACTAGTGTAATGACCCAAAAGAGCAATAGTGCAAAGAACAATAGGGAACAGGACACAACTACTACGCATAATAATAATTTGTACCCCACCCTCCCCAGGCAAGACCGGGCTCAGGGTGGCTAACAACCAATAATAAAAGCAAGTTGATTAAAATACAATTTAAAAGATTAAGATACAACATTAAAACATTAGGATGCAGCTTCTTCATAGGAGGAGAAAGGAGAAAGAAAGAGGGTAGGGAATCAAACTCATTCTAAGCCAAAGGCCAGGTGGAACAACTCTGTCTTACAGGCCCTGCGGAAAGAAATCAGATCCCGCAGGGCCCTAGTCTCATGAGGCAGAGCATTCCACCAGGCTGGAGCAAGTGTTGAGAAGGCCCTATCTCTGGTTGAGGCTAATCTAACTTCCTTAGGGCCCAGGACCTCTAGGGTGTTGCTATATATGGACCTTAAGGTACTCCGTGGGGCATACCAGGAGAGGCGGTCCCGTAGGGCCAGCCCCACCATTAGATAGAAGGAGGTGGATGCCTTGGGCAGCTAATTTTGAGCTATGAACAGGCAATAAATTGAATCATAGAATTATTGAGCTGTAGAGTTAGAAGGGACCACAATGGTCATCTAGTCCAACCCCCTGCAGTGCGGGAATATTTTTACGCAATATGGGGCACAATCTGATGACCCTGAGATTAAGAGTCTATTGCTCAATCGACTGAGCTATCCTATGAGCTATCTCACTTACTGTGGTATTTTTACTGCCAAGGACAGGAAAAGGCACTTGTAGATAGTAGTGCTTCAGGTGCCAAAATAACTTGCCTGGCTTTGGGTACCATGCACCTTGACTTGGAAGTGGGCAGTGGAGGGACATAAGTGCCATTTGCTGCTTTAAGTAGCAACATGTCTTGAGCAGGCTCTGCCCAAACAAGTGAAGGAACAGATATCATATAGCAAACCTGTGCCAGAGGCAGTTACTTTGCCAAGTCAGTGGTAGGGTCAGAGAGAAGTGCCATAAAGTCTGTGGTAGAGCATCTGCTTTGCATGCAAAAGGTTCCAGGATCAATCCCCAGTAGCATCTCCAGGTAGGGCTGGGAATGTCCTCTGTCTTAAACCCTGGAAGGCCACTGCCTGTCAGTGTAGGCAGTACTGAACTAGATGGCCCAGTGGTGTGACTCAGTGTAAGGCTGTGTTCATAGAGGCTGTTGTGCAGGAAAGGGGTCTCTGCGTGTGTTTAATATTTTACTTTTATGATGCAAACACACTGTGGAGAAACTTCTTATTACATGTTGGGCTGAACAGTCGGACTCACCAGGAGGAAAATTGGGCTGATGGCCACCCAGGAGATTCTCCAGAACCACCCAGGGCTGAATCCAAGCATCTCTTTCACGTCACTGCAGAACTGGCTGACACCTGCAAAAATAGCATAGGGTGAGGCCCATGTTACTCACGTGTTCCTATGAACTAGGTTCAGCAGAATAAAAAAGTAAAGTGTGATTGCTTTGATTGCACCAGCTTAGGTTTTCACGCAGTAGTATGCAGGCTGTCAAGCTACACAGCACCCTGCTGCCATTAGTCCTAAGAGTTCTGTGAAACGTCAGAGCTCATGTGCATCCACACTAACGTAAGCTGTGGTTCATCACTCATATGTACATGGTCATAAGTGTGAGAGATTAGCAGCCAAACCTAACAAATGCATATTCTTGCTAGTTAGCATGAGAAGGGGCTAAGTCCCCAGAGCTGTATTGCTGATAGGCAAATACTCAGACCATAGAAATACAATTGGTAGAGAGGCGCTGTGTGATGTCATTTCTCCTCCTGTCCTGGAGAGGAAGGCATATATAGTACAGTACTTCAAATATTTGTCACATGGAAGATGGAGCAAGCTTGTTTTTTCCTGCTCCAGAGCCTAGGACTTGGACTAATGGCTTCAAGTTACAAGAAAGGAGATTCCAGCTAAAATCAGGAAGAACTTTCTGACAGTAAGAGCTGTTCAGCAGTGGAACAGACTCCCTCAGGAGGTTCAGGGCCTTCCTTCCTTGGAGGTTTTTAAGGAAAGGTAGGATGGCCATCTGTCATGGATGCTTTAGTTGAGATTCCTGCATTGCTGGGGGTTGGACTAGACACTAGAGGACCCTCAGGATTCCTTCCAGCTCTACAATTCTATAATGGAATAGAATCATTCTGTGATTCCACGATTCTGTGAATTACACAGAGTCCCTCCTACAAAATACTGACAGCCTGGAGGCAACCACAGTGGGCCTGGTGTATGGATCTAGCAAGGCCCAGATGCCCCACTGGCAGCCTTTTGAGGAGTAAAGCAGTGAAATGTATGTGTCTTCCCTTTCTAAACCCTGCCTTACATTCAAAGCAATAAGGAAGCTGCATTATACTCCAGTCACTATGAGGCTAAGAATAGCTACTAGCCACGATGGCTGTGCTCTGTCTCCATGGTTGTGGGCAGCAAATAACAGTTGCTGGAAACTACGGGAGAGTAAAGCTTTGCTACTGTGCTCATTGAGGGCATCTGGATGGCCATGGCGAAAACAGGAGTCATGACTAGAAGAGCCTTTGGCCTGATCCAGCTGGCTCTTTTTATGTTCTTACGCTCATTCAAAAGTGATTAAGTGTAACTCTGATGGATGCCCTCTCAAATACACATTTGCATGAGCACAGGAGTCTCATCAACAAGTGCACCGGCATTCAGCTATCCTCACCGTAAAACCAAGCCACTGCAATGGATTCCAGGAACACCACAGCTATCACAGCTGGGCCGGTGGCATATTCTTCAAGCAGCTTTACGACATACGCACCACCCTAGAGCAAGAGAAAGAAAGATCATGGGAAACAACAGGATCGCTTCTAGTTCCCAGAAGGCAAAACTTGCTTGTACAGAGCTCATTAGCTCATTGGAGAGGCAGCAGAAGCCTGTAATGTACTTTAATCTGATGCTCTCTTCAGTACCGGTGCAACCTGACTAATCCTGAACTGTGTAAATGACCCAGTTTCTCCAACTTCCCTTCCTTTGTCTCACACAATACAGCAACCGTGCAGATAAGAAAAGGCTGAGTGGAATGTGTGAGCAATCCAATAGGTAATCCAGCAGGGGATTGATGCCTCTGTTTCCTCCCTGGTGAGAACGTTGAAGGGGCAATGACTGACAGTAAAGCTGAGGGCAGACCCTTGTGTTCCTATTCTTTTCCCCCTTGGGAGTCAGACTTTCCCAAAAGGGGAAGGGAATTGTGCCTCCAGCAGGAACTGGGACTCCTGTTTTGCATTCCAAATCAAGGAGCAATATCTGATAAAACTGTGTGTGATACATGTTTCTCATGAAACGATCCCATCTATGCTTGGTAGTAACACCTCCCTTGTCAGAGTCTTCACTATCTCTAGTTCAACTTGGCGTCTCATCCAATCTGTTGACATCATAGCGCCACAACATGCAATTTGAGACACCCCAAACCGTTTGGGAAACTGGGTTATGTAGCACTGGGAGGGCTTTTCAACACTCCCCACCCCCAAATGTCTCAGACATTATTGCCACTTAACGCAGCTCTTGCTGATTTGCAGTGTTTTGAAACAACACATTCAGTTTTTAAAACAGCCCTGATCGAGGCTGCATGGAAAAGCATTTGAAATCTGATCATTCAGAACCTGTGGAAAGGCATGGTAGAAATCTAACAAGGAAATCACTTGCAGGGTTGTAGAGAACAGCACCAATCTTGGATTGCGTCCGATTGTTTGCAGTCCAAGAGCTGCACTCCAGCATCCTCTGTGGCATTAAAGGGAAGCCTGGAATCCAAATTGCACACCAAACGCACGCACACTCTTCAGCCTACCGAATGGCTTGACTGGCCACGGAAAGGTGAGCTACTCACAAAGGTCAGCGTCGGCATGGCACCCAAGAAGCAGGTCACAATGAAACCCAGCACAAACACCTCCCGGCGCTTGCTCCAGATGTGCGGGAATTCATCCAGGACGGCAGTGATCACCCCTTCTAGGCCTGCAAACTGGGAAAAGCACACAGAGGAGTCAGTGAAGGAAAGGCAGCTGCCTTCTTCCCCAGAACTCTTAGAGCTTGCAAAGGGATCCGAACAATTCTGTGTTTGTGCTTGGTGAACTGAACCTGTTTTCAGGCTAATGGAATAACCCCACAGCCTGATGCTAAGGGCCAGACCAGGCAAGTCACATGCTGCCCATACCCCAGAGGCTACGACCTGATTTTGCCTGCCTCCTCTCAAGTGGAAGGATGCAGTTCCTTGGTGTTGACCAGTCATCCCCAGCCTGATGCTCTCCAGATGTTTGGGGAAACTCCCACCAGACCCAGCTAGAACTCCAAGTAAGACCCTGGCAACACAACTTGTTGGTTGGGGCTAATGGGACTTAGTCCAAAATAGCTTCACTGACTGAGGACACCAAGTTCAGGAAAGCGGCTCTAGATTCCGCCCCAGAGGAAGTGGGGAAAACATTGTTTTCTTACTAGCTGGTCAAGTGTCAGCATTCCAGCACAAACGCCAACTGAGGTTATCCAAAAAGATAATATTTCCATTCTTCAGATTTGGTTTGGCTAAGTGTGGACTAAGTCTGCAATAACACACACAGAACCTTTCCTTCTACTGCTCCATTACTCACTGTGCTGTCCAGTCCCAGGGTGATCAACATCAGGAAGAATATAATGGCAAAGAAGGTGGAGGCAGGCATGTTTGCGATGGCCTCTGCATAGGTGATGAAGAGGAGGCTGGGTCCTGTCAGTCAATGAGATAACAGTCCATGACTTATTCTGCTTCCTCCAGAGTTTAACCCCCCCCTCCCCAGCTTGTAACACAGTGGCTAATGTCAATACATAAGTTAACACAAAAGCCATATACCAGATAAGAGAAAAACAAATCAGAACAGCTGATAATCAGCAGCATAAATAATCAGCCGCCCCTTTCAGAGCCAGTTCAGCTGTGACGGTATCTTCTCGCCACCATGCTTTAATCTGGCACGTCAAACTTATTAGGAAGGGAGCCAATCTGATCTCCTGTGACAGGGAGTTCCACAGGCCTGACGTCATACTCTCCTATATTCCCACCAGCTGCAACTCTAATGGTGGCAGGCATAAAGAGCCGCCTCCTCCAAAGGTCACCAGTCAAGGGTATCTAATGTGGTGTCTTCTGGATGGGAGTTGGAGTACTACATAGGAAGAGCCTGCTGGATTAGGCCAGTGGCTTGTCTAGGCCAGTATCCTGTTAGGAACATAAGAGGCTGCCTTATACCAATACTGACCTTTTACTCTATCTAGGTCAGTATTGTCCAAGCTCACGGGCAGCAGCTCTCCATTGTTTCAGACAAGGAGCTTTTCCCAGCCCTATGTGAAGATACCATTGGGAGTTGAACCTGGAGCTTCTGCATGTAAGGCAAATGTGCTACTGCTGAGCTATGCCAGTTCCCCACTGTTCTCATGGTGGCCAACGAGATGCCCTAAATGGGAAGCCCAGTAGCCCTGCAGCATCTATTCTAGAGGGCACCATGTTTACTACCCATGAGTGGCCAGACAGGTTGGTGTGGAAGGAGACAGTGCTTCACATTACGGTTAGGGCCTGGCCCATTTCAGACTTTAAAGCTAACTGCAGCTCAGATGCTGTCCAGGAGCCAAATCAGCTGGCACCAGCCACAGAGCTGCATCCTCTCCAAACCTTTACTATTTTTGTTTATTTTAGGCAGCTATATACCCCACCCTTAAACAATTCCCCAGGACAGCTTACATTATCAAAATACAATAAACAATAAAAATGTGATAAAATATAATCTGGCTCTGGTTGGGACTCCAGCTGACGCAGTTTGGACCAGCAGAAGTTTCCAAACACTTCAAAGGGAGCCCCACTTAGAGCATGTTACAGTGATCCAACCTTTATGTAACTAAGGCATGTGTGATCATGGCCAGTGGCTATACTTCTGCCAGCAAAAGCATTGTCCAGAGCCAAGCTGATTGGCTCTGGGCAATGCTCTTGACCCTGTGGGTGCCTGTGAGGAGCTTGCTGCAGCAAGTGAGCCGGGAATCCTGTGCAGCACTATCTCAGTGTGGCATCAGGCTCTAGCAGGATGGAAGGGAGCGGCTTTGTCCCCTGGCTTGATGAATTGTATTGCGTTTCATCTTGAGGGCCTTCAATCCTTCATCCAGTCTCAAACATCCCTTTCAAGCAGCCAGTTGGCAGAGCTCTGAAGGGCAAAAGTTTATAGATCTGAGAGTATCCCATGCCTTGCCAATGGCAGGCACCAGAGATCTGTATATTTTTCAAGGAGGATGCTACCCATAATCACTAAATGGAACCTTCATGATTTGAGGCCAGGCCAAACAAACTAGAAATAGCACTCCAGACTTTATTCTGAAACAGCAAGGCAATCCCTATGTTCCCGTCTCTCTGACCTCGCATTCCAAGCAGAGGCTTTTCCAGCTTGGTCTCAAAGACTTCCAACCAAGGAGAGTTCCCTACCTCATTGGAAGCTGACTGATATGCCAAGTCAGACCCCACTGGTCCATCTAGCTCAGTAACACCTATGCTAGCTTTCCCTGACTTGAGTAACACAGGATATTGACAAGCTGGAACATGTGCAGAGGAAAGAAACCAGGATGACAAAGGGTCTAGATACCAAGCCTTATGAGGAACGGTTGAGGAAGTTTGATCTGTTTAGTTTGGAGAAGAGAAGACCTAGAGGCGATATGATAACTGTTTCAAGCTTGTTTCCTGCTGCTCCAGAGGGTAGGACCTGAACCAATGGATTCAAATTCCAACTAAACATTTAGAATAACTTTCTGGTGGTAAGAGCTGAACAACAGTGGAATGGGCTTCTCTGAAGGTGGTGGACACTCTTTCATTGGGGGTTTTAAACAGAGGTTGGATAACCATCTGTCAGGGATTCTTTAGCTGTGATTCCTGCACTGCAGGGGATTGGACTAGATGACTCTAAGGGTCCCTTTCAGCTCTTCTGTGATTCTGATTTGCATTCCAGAAGCTGCTGAATTATTACTACCACCATCCCTGACCATTGGCCATGCTGGCTGGGGCTAATGGGAATCAGGAGTCCTGCAACATCTGGAGATGTTCCCTTTGGAGAAGAATTTTAGGCAAAACTGAGGCTGTTAGCCCTACCTGGAGTTGCTAGGAATTGAACCCGGAACATTTTTTCATGCAAAGCCAAACATTGTAATTTGAGAATTAAGTAGCTCTTGACTAAACATACTGAGCTGTTTTAGGAATGTGTCTTCTTATGCCTTCAAGTCAAGTTTGCCAGCATCCTGCATGTGTCAAAATTAGTCAGCCAAGGAAGTGTTTGAGGAATTCTTCAATGAGGCCATTGAACCCAGTTGCCTAATGATGAACCCAGTTGCTCACTGAAAGATGTTTCATGGGAACTCAGGAAGCTAGCCACCTTATGCCAGATCAGACTATTAGATGCCTAGCCCACTACTATGACTAGTAGGGTCTCAGGGAGAAAAGGGTCTTCCCCCATCACTTGCATCTAAAATTACCGTACTTCTTCAAAAGGGGACTGGAGATGCTAGGGATGGAACCTTGCTCACTGGTTCCAGCCCTTCCTCAACTGGCTATTGAGACACAGTGGTGCCTGATGTTCTCTTGTTTTAAAAGGGGCTGTGCAGAGTTTCTTAGGATGCATAAGATCCTCTGCAGGACAGCTTGCATCAGAATACAGGAACATACTGAGCCAGACGATTGGTTCATCTTGCTCAGTATTGTCTACACTGACTGGTAGTGGCTCTGCAAGGTTTTAGGCAGGCAATCTTTCCCAGCCCTGCCTGGAGATACCATTGCAGATTGAACCTGGGACTTTCTGCGCCACAGTGGGCTGCAGCCTTCCCACCATCACAGGAAAGGTAGTGAGAGTATAAAAGGAAAGGATTGGGAAGAATTCTTTGTCTGCATTGCACTTCCCAAACCAGTATGTCAAACTGAAAAGTAGCTATCCTTCGAATTCACACTTCTCCAAATTTTGCAGTGCAGTTCTCCAGACAAAAAAATGTTCACCAAAGAAAGTATATGTTAGAGGAAGAAATCTTGCTTTCGTAGAAATAACATACAAAAATTACTTGTAAAAATACATCAGTTTGGGGAGATTGTTTACATAGGCATATTACAGAAAATTGCAAACAAACTTACATTTTCAGGTGCAATTAAAAAACAACAACCCCAACCATACTGCAAACTGCTGAAGAAATGGGGCAAACGGAACATAAGACTGGAAAAATGCGAAGCTGAGATTGGCCACATTTGCCCATCCTTGGTTGCTTACCTGTGTCTCGGGCCACGTCTGCCACCTCTTGGTTCCTCATCTCAGCCATGTACCCCAGCACGGTGAAGATGACGAACCCGGACACAAAACTGGTCAGGCAGTTCACAGTGCTGGTGACTAGAGCGTCCCTGTAATGGAAACACGCATGCCTCTGAGAATCAGGACATGCTTGTGATACAACATACACACATACCCCATACACAAATTCTCCTTGTACCCTCCAGCTGGTCTGATTTGGAGTGTAAATAATTAGAACTATGTGCAAACCATCAATATGTTTATTAGAGTCTTCCACAATGGCAAGTTGAGTAATCGTCCCCCCACTTCCCAGTAATCTTTCCCTTTGAGAAAACTCACTGGTAGCAGTTGTTATGGAACTTGTTGTAGCTTGCAAAGGCTAGGAGGACCCCAAATCCTGGGCCGAGAGAGAAGAAGATCTGAGCAGCTGCATCAATCCACACCTAAAAAGAAAAGAATCAACAGACAGCTCACTAAAAAGGGTATCGGTAAAAGCAGAGTTCTGGGAAGCCATGCAAGGAGTGAGCGCTTTCAGCTTCCAGTTTGTGTTTTGAGCCCTGTGCTTCAAGTGTTTCTGGTTAAGAGTTTACTATAGCGACTCTTGCTGGAACTGAGGAAGCTATCAGTTAGATACAGGCAGGGACGACTGCTTTGTAGCAGACACAGTGGAGTTGAAGTTGAAGACCTAGCAGGGCAATACCAGTCGCAGTGGCCTGCCACTCCATGGGTTCCCCACAGTAGATCCACTAAGGTCCTCCCCCACAGCTGGCCATCTAAGCTACTGGCCATCACTGCATCTTGTGACAGTTAGTTCCATAGCTTAATAATGCAGTATGTGAAGTTACATTGGGGGAGAGGGTTGGCCTGTCTTGATTCTCCTGCCACTCAATTTCATTGAGTGACTCCTAGTTGCCTCTCTATCCAATTTCTCTGCATCATACTATAGTATTACAAACCTCCATCAGTTCTCTCCTTAATTACCTTTTTTTCTTTTCTGGTTAAAAAAAATCCAAAACCCTATAGCCTTCCTTTATAGAGAAAATGCTCTGGATCCATGATAATCTTGTGGCTATTTTCTGCACATTTGTACTGAGCCAGGCCAGTGGTCCATGGCAGATGGAGTTGCACTCTAGTGTTTTCAACATTTTCAGTCCTACCTGGAGATGCTGAGGATTGAATATGGGACCCTTTGCACTCAAAGCAGATACTCTACCACTGAGCTGTGACTTTTTCCTAGTTCTTTCAATATCCTTTTTGAGATGAGATGACCACAACTATACACTATATTTCAAGTTCACCCACCCCATAGATTTATTCAAGTGCATTACACCACTGGCAAACTTATTTTCAGTTCTTTCTTGATAGCACTTAGGATGGAATTTGCTATACTCAGCTGCCACACACTGGGTTGACATCTCTGAGCTGTCCTTCTCCCATCACCCCAAGATCCGTTTCCTGACTAGCCTTCTTATCTCCTGTTTTCTCCAGAACAAACCAGTTCCTTTTTATTCTCCAGACTCAAAGCTGAGCACTGCCCGACTCTGTAGATCGTTCCTGCCCCAGGAGCCACCACATGAAAGCTTTGTGGCCATATATCAACAGCACAGAGATCGCAATCTGGCCTCGCTCATCGCTTCAGAAACATCCAATACAATACTAACACCCTTTATTACTTTTAGGGGAGGCAACGGGGCCTTATTGGAGATGTGGCTTTATCAGAGAACGATGTGTCTTCATTTCCTCTTCATTGAACTCTCTCCTATCAACCGGGAGCCCGCTGGCTGGCGAATATTAGAACCTGTAATCTCAATAGTAGCTGTATTTATTACTTAGAGGGCCAAAATCTCCCCCAACCTCATCTGAGTCTTTCATAACTATTCAGGGGGAAATGACATTTGCATCTGCTATACAGAATGCAATGCCTGATGGCTTGTGGGGGCAACCTACTGCCAGCATATAACACATCCTGCTTGAGGGATTTGCACTGGCTGTCAATTTGCTACTAACATAAGTCCCTATACAGCTCAGGAACAGGATACTTGAGAGACTGTCTTATCCCTTATACACTCAGCAGACAGTCTGCAGAAAAGCTTCTTCTGCAAGTTCCATTTATCCTGTTTTCCAGCTGTTTCCAGAAAATACAGATAGTGGGTGTGTGTTGTATCTCGACAGGAACACTATACCATAGAGCAGGAGCAAGCATAATACCAGTCTTGCTCCAAGTAGCTGCAGAGCAGGCTTCGGTAAACCTCAGAACTTACACAAAGCCAAAGAGCACTCCCCAAGCATTACCCTCTGGAAACAACCAAATAGAATCAGAACCACTGCGAAGTGGTGCCACCCACCGCCTGACTCGGACAGCTGCTTCAGAAGGATACCCTGGTTGAAATGCCATGGTATTGAAAGCTGCTGAAAGGTTGAGAATTAACAGGGATACAAGAGTGCCTGGATCTGGTCTGCAGCCACCCACTCAAGAACCTTGCTCAAGAAGGAGAAAGTGGCAACTGACCAGTAATTACCTAGATTTTTACTTAGGTTGGGAGAAGGCTGACTGAGTACCTGGTTCACCCCCCCCCACCTCCTCAAATCTAGTACATTGCTCTGCATTTGCCACAGGACTTTAAGGTAGCCGATCCATTCATCTGATTTGTTGCACCCGCCTCCCCCCCCCCCCCCGCTTACCTCAGTAGCAAAAAGCTTATCCCATTCGGGCTTCAGGTAGTAGACCACCCCTCTCCAGGCCCCAGGCAAGGTAGCGCCCCGTATTAAGAGGACAAAGAGTATGACATAAGGGAATGTGGCAGTCACCCACACAACCTGTTTGGAGAAGAAATCAAGACTGAGGATTCGTCCGAGGGAAACCGCCAGCACAAAGGATGAAAACTTTGCTCTGAATTAGCATCAGTATTAATTTATTAAATTGATAGCCCACTCTCCGCCGCAACTCAAAACATGCCCACGGTGCCTAGCAACATCAAATCCAACAAGACCATATCTAAAAACGGTAATTAAAATGAAAGTTTTAATATCGACAGTGCCTGAATGTCCCTATCTAAAGACCCAGGCAAATAAGAAGAACACCAGCATTTTAGTGCAAATTTATCCTAATGTATACATTTTTAGCAGATATATACATTTTTGCAAAGCAAATGTTACATGCTTTTGTGGGCTAGTTTAACTGAACTATATGCACATTTTACCTTAGAATATGCATCTCTGTACATTTTAGTTGACTGGAAAACCGCCTTGCAAAATTCGGAGATGTGCAAATGTTATAAAATTCCCCCCACCCCATCCCTAGTTCCGGGGGTCTCTTCTGCCAGCTCCATGAACTATCCCATCCTGTGCCAAAGCCCTGTCTCTTCCCACCACAAGGAGGTGGCACAGACTCCCCTGTGTCTGAACTTCCTTCCTCTTGACCTGCTCCCATGGGACAGATGGGGTTTCCTGGCCTAGTGGCGCCTTGCCTGCTGCCTCATATTTGGGAGGCTTGTGGTGTCTGCGCCCCTGACACTGACAAATCTTCTGTATAGAAAAGGCCTTCCTAACACACAGTCAGAAGGAAGGATGGCGACATCCTCACTGGGTGCTAGCCAAGATCACAGGAGGCCACCAGCTTGGGTAACTTCAGAATGATCTTCAGATCATTCCAGCTGCTTCTCAAGACAGACAGGAACATGAAAGTTTCCTCCCTCTTTTTGGTGGCAGAAATGGGGAGCCTTTTTCATCTTGAGGGCCACGTTCCCTTAATGGGCAACCTTCCAGGGGCCATATGCCATGCTTGGGCCAGACCAGAGGTAAAAACAGATGGGACACTTACTGTGTACAGTAATCTGTACCCCAGCCATGCAAAAGCCAGAAGTTTCTACAAACACACCAGCACATACCATCTCCCCAGTCTCTAGCCAGGCAAGCTAGAAACATTCTCATATGTCAAGAACACATTCAAGTCAGCTAAATGCACTTGAGAAGGGGACAGGGCAGGGCTGGTGAGGGTGCTGCCTGATGAAGGGGTGTGGTCTGGGAAGACCCCTAAGGCACTAAGGAATGGAGAAGCCTGGTGGGCCACATGAACCTCTCCCCCCCCCCCCGGTCTTCAGATACAGCATCCCTTTCCATCCCTGACCACCAGATACAATCCTGGCGTAGCTCCTCCTGCTGTTGGCCTTGCTCTTCACCTTTCCAGATGTTTTGACTCCTTTCCAGATGCTGAAGTACACAATGGTGAAGATAAGCATCAAACACAGGACGAGCTGCCAGCTGATTCCTCCCAGGTCATCCAGCCCCTTGGATCTGTGCACTTGGAGAATGTGGCGGCTGAAATGGAAAGGAAACAGGCGTGTTGGGGATCCTTGGGATGCAGACTTTCCAAAGGGATCATTTCAAGCGGGTGACGTTTGCTTCAAGTCCATGAGTCCTGAGGGTGGGATGGAGTGGGGTTTGCTACTGGGAACTTGCCATCAACGTGGCTGTTGGATGCAAGCCAAGCAAACGGGAGGTCAAGAACAGGGTAGCTTTGCAATGTTGTTGGACAGCAACTTCCACCATCCCCCTGACCATTGGCCATGCTGGCTGCTGATGGGGCTGATGGGAATCGGAGCTCAACATTGTCTGGAGGGAATCACATTGGCTTCTCATTTAAAGATTTGCTCCTGGTTACGAGCGGGGGAGAAGGAAGAACAACCTAGAGCTGGCTACCTCGTGTCAATTTCATGCCAGTGCTTTTCAAAAAGTGGCAGTTATTTACTTCAGTTAGTTTTTTAACAAAAAATGTTTGGATTTCCTTTCTTTGGCAATCAAAACAATGTAGCCAGGCCTGATTATAGCCTGATTTCGATGAATTGGCTAACATCAGTTGGTGGGGTGGTTCTAACTTCTGACAATTCCGGCACACATTTCCCCTGTTGATTAAAATGGGAGATGCCACTTCATTCTTATACCCCGAAAGGGCTTCCTTTATACACTATACTATGAAGCATACTTTTTATGGTGCAGATCGCATGTAACATTAAACCATGGTTTATTAAACGTGTGCAGACCCTGCCCAGTACTTAACTGTGGCTTGTTTACAGTCAACAAGCTGTGGCTTGAAGCCATGGTTTACTGTTGGCTTCTAAAACTTCGAGTTATTTTAACTATGGCTTGGTGCTACTTGTGAAAACAGCACCCTTGGCTTTTTTGGCTACCCCACCCCAGACACCCAGACACTTCACATTCTAATGAGGCAAGAGTAGCTGGAAAACAGAAGAAGCTTTGGAGAAACAAGTCATAGTTTGATCATCTGTAGGAGAAATTGTTTTTAATTCATGGTTTGATAAATGAACCATGACACAGTGTTAAATGTGAACCAGGCCTGTGTGTTTCTGCATGAGTCACAAATCTATGTAGGCTTTCTGTTTGGGAGGGGCTACACTCAGAATAGTGACTCATGCAGAGATACAATGGGCAGCTTTCTCTGTGAGGGTGGACAATTCTTTTGCTTTTCTATATCAGGAGTGGCGGCTTGCTCAGTGCAGAACTTTGACAGAATTATCCGTGCCACCAGCAGAGACGGATTGGAAGGAGGTGAGAACAGAGCAGGGAGTCATCCAGAGATCCAGAATGCACCCTCCTCTGTTCATGGATGCTTTGGGCACTTAGGAACCTGGTGTGTTTTGACATGTTTCTCACAGCTCTAGCAGATCTCTTGCAGCACCCTTGTGTGCTCTGGCACCTAGTTAAGGAATGACCAAGGCTGATGTTTCAGAGGGCTTCAGAGGTTGTTGCAAGCATAAAGAATGAACCACTAACTCTCACTGATGCTCATGAAAAGCGGTTGCTAACTAGGAGACCTGAGCCAGTGCCTTCATATAAAGAAAGCACAGGGTTTAACCCATCCGTCCCTCCTCGAAAGCTCCTTCCCCACCCTCCCTGCTCCACCTTATTCTGGCATGGCTGTCTCTCCACTTACATGCACTTACGTGTAAAATTCTTCTGCCGGGGAGGTCGAGTTGGCAGTCCAGGCGGTGCTCTTGTTGGAGAAGTAGTTTGTGCAGTTGTTGGTGTTCCAGGGGTTTTTGCAGCTGGTCCAGGGCAGCTCACTCGTGAACGAGGAGATGAGGTAGTACAAGGCCCATGCCATGATGGTGTTGTAGTATGAGGCAATGTAGAAGCCAATGATGCAGATGGCATAGCCAATTCCTGGATAGATAGAAAATGCTGGCATAAACATAAGAGAGATGGGTGCTCTGGTGTTCCTATTAAGTGATCTGTTGGTAGTGCAGAGGCTTCCATGCAACACATGGAGCTCCAGTAACTTGCTCTTGAGGGCAGAGGTTCCTATGCAGCCAGGGAGCTCCAGCACAGGCCATAAAAAACATGGATGAGGGCACAGGCAACAGCATATAAAATGGCATTGTCAGTCATTTTCCCTTTGTGTGCATTTATTGGGAACTATGCTCATAGTAAGTAGAGAACTTTTTATGTGTGGATTTGGAGGGTCAATGCAGAATTACATGTCTAAGACGTCTGATCTCCACATATGCCAGGAATCCTCCCCTGAAAAGCCCCTGGCTCCACACCCCAAGTGCTCTGCAGCTTTAACTGTGACCCAGGATTCTGAGAATAGAGATTTTCCCTTGAGGATTACCTTTGAAAATGGGACAGATCTTCCTCCAGATTGAGATGCATCCATTTCGGTGATACTGCCCCAGTGCCAGCTCCATGTAGAAGAGCGGGATCCCTCCAAAGATAGCCATGATTGTGTACGGGATGAGGAAAGCTCCTGAATCAAAGGGACCAACGTTAAAACACCATTCAGAGAGGCATCGGATGGTAACAAGTGGCCTACGCAACAAAACGTTGCAGCGTGGAGTGTTTCTGATCAAGATGCCAGCCAGTCAGCTGTGCCCTCCCCCAGAAGACTCCGTTCCCTTGACCTCCCACCCCTAATGCTGCTCAGCAAAGGCCAGTCAGCATTTCCTTTGGCTCCTCCTTCCTGAATATTAGTTCTAAAAATCTTGGTGTTTCCCCAAGCATGCTGACGGATCCCTCTTGTGCCTGGGGGGGTGCACTGCGTCCACAAAGGTCTCTGAGTGCCAGAAATAGAGGGAACAAGGTGGGGGTGTTGCAACAACAGTGTTGCTGTGTGGAGTACTGCTGTTCAAGACCCCAACTACTCCCCTTCCCCTAACCCCAGTTTTCCACCAGTCAGCCAGCTGAATCCTTGCTGGCCTGTTGCATGCTCAGTTGTGCATGTGTTGGGGGCGGGGAGTATGTGTGTTCAATCCCAGCTACATTAAAATCTCTGATATCTCCATTGATATCTCCTGTGGCCAGCTCTCCCTTCCATCTTGAGGACATTGCAAAATAGCTTATCAGAATGAACAAGTCAGGAAATGACTTTATCGAGGCAACAATGCGGTTTCTTTCCTTTCTTAGATCTGTTTATCTTCCTCTCCAGCCGGTTGTCAACATTTCATGCCGCCCAGCCTTTATGGGGCTATTTTAGGGATAGCTCCCTATTTTGTCCACAGCTCCAGGAGCGATTTTAAGAATCCCTCAGTTAATACAGGTTGCTTCCATGCTAGAGTCCACTTGGAGTGTGTGTTGTTTTTTGTAACCTGCCGGTAGGCCTGAGCGGTGTACCAATGCATCGCCCAGGACCGTGTATGGCGGCTTCACCTGGCAGTATATCATGGGTGAAACCGACACAGCTCCTGAGTCCCTCTGCTACCAGTGCCACGTTCAACATCGGGCTGCTGGTATCAGAGGGACTCAGGAGCAGCAGCGGTTTCAGCTGTGCTATACTGCCGCATGAAGCCGCCATTGCGCTCTGCCCCTCATGCTGCAGAGGGAGGAGCAAGCTGTATCGCCGGGCCCATACAACTTATTCCTTCCTCGGCTTCTTTAAACTGTTCCCACTGCTTCCCCACCTCAGCGAGCCCAGCTGAGCAATGCAAACAAGCTGTATAGTCCCTGACCTGCAAGGTGCTGGGATGAAAACCCCTCAGCTTCTGCAGTGAGAGTTGCGACAATTTTACCCCGTGCCTTGTGGGCTGGGGCCAATGTAGCTTGTTGCTGCATATCACCAGGTTGCGATGTTTGGCTGGCGACACATTGCATTGTTGAAAACCTGACATTGCCCAGCCCTGCCCATCAGCATCTTTTATGTGGGAATGCTAGGTGGCATGAGAGAATGAGTCTCAAGCAAATATATATATATATATACACATATATTCTTTATTTAATTGCAAAGAAATGCTTGCAGTCGCTTGGCCTTTGCTTGCTTTGTGCTGCAGATTTTTTGGGGGGAGGCAGATGTTAGTTCACAGCACCACCATCCTGCTCCACCCCCAAGTATATGTTAGAGGAGCAAGGCCCCGGTGCTGTGCCCAGATTAAGCAAGGGGGCTGCAGGGTAACTGACTCTTGTGAGCCACTTTGAGCTCAACATTTGTGTTTGGAAAAGCAGACTACAAATATTGAATCAAATCAATCAATGGACACTCACCTCCTCCGTTTTGGTAACATATATAAGGGAAGCGCCATACATTTCCTAGATCTACTGCATAGCCAATAACAGAGAGGAGAAAGTCCACTTTCTTGCTCCAAGTCTCCCTCTCATCCAGCTCCATCAGCTGCTGCTGACCCTCTGCCACACAGAGGGTGGTGGTCATGGGAGCAGCGGGTGTGGGAGGGGTGCCTTCGCTGCCCCCTGTCGCATTGCAAGGACTTGGGCTCTGGGCTCCTGAAATCCCATTGGACACAGGGCTCGTGGTCTCCTCCTTTTCTCCCTGGCTAGGGTGGGCTTGGTTTGCACCCTCCGCCAGTTGGAATTTAGGTTCTGTGATCTTGATCAGGAGTCCGTTCTCTGAGCAGTCATCCCCTTCCTTACAGTTCGAGGCCTTTGGAGGCGCGAGGGGCTGGGTCTCGCTGGGAGCTGCCTTCTCCATTCCGGTGGGTTAGAAGGCAGCCTTCCTATCCATCTGCAGGGGACTTCCACTAGGACCGCCTTTCCAGCCACAGATTCCTTTGTGGGTTTTCCAGCATCAGCAGCTCAGCTGTGGGCCCTGCAGCATGTTGGAGGAAACAGGCAGCTCAAAATTTTAATTGCGGAGGGGAAAACAAAATGGCAATATGATTATCGATTGGTTATATGGTCTTATTTTACATAAACATGCGTACAGAAATGAAGCGCTTCTGTTCTTTTATTTACTAATGAGATAGAAGAACAATTGTAAGAGGCAAGATTGTAGAAGTCAATGTGAAAGCTCATATCAATAACAAACTTAGTTGGTCTCTAAGGTGCTACTGGAAGGATTTTTTAATTTTGTTTTGACTACGGCAGACCAACACGGCTACTTACCTGTAAGCAGGTACTTAAAGGCATTTTGCTGTATAATGTGAAGGACAAGGTAGTGGTCTCTCACCATTCCATATACAGAACCCAATCAGGGTGACTCTTACTTCAGTGTTGGTAATGGGATCGCATCCTCTACCACACTTGGAACACCAGGACAGCTTAGGAAGCTGAGGCAAAATGGGGGTGGGTTGATACACTGCTCTTCAGTATCTACTGCCTAAGCAGCTGCCTCAGTCTACCTCATAGTAGGGCCAGCCCTATATGCAAGGAACGGGCAGGTACTGGGGTGAGTGATGTTGCTGCTAGTACTGTCACCAAATCATTTCGTTTTACTTACTTGCACAACATCCTTGTGACCCGCCCAGCCCACCAGCATTCAAGTTGAGGTATGGAGAAGAAAAGCTCAGAAATAGGATTTGGTTATTTGTGTGAGTTTCACTTGATTCATTCAACCAATACTAGTAAAAGTAAAGGGACCCCTGACCATTAGGTCCAGTCGTGGCTGACTCTGGGGTTGCGGCGCTCATCTCGCTTTATTGGCCGAGGCTGCCAGCGTACAGTTTCCGGGTCATGTGGCCAGCATGACTAAGCTGCTTCTGGCGAACCAGAGCAGCGCACGGAAACGCCGTTTACCTTCCCGCCAGAGCAGTACCTATTTAGCTACTTGCACTCTGACGAGCTTTCGAACTGCTAGGTTGGCAGGAGCAGGGACCAAACAATGGGAGCTCACTCTGTCGCGGGGAGTCACCCAATACTACCTGCAGTTAATTTGAATATGAATTAAACATTAGTTTTGAAGGGGTGGAAGCATACTGTATTAGTTTGTAGATGGGGGCATACATACATCACAACACTTTCTTTCTTATAACTTCCTCATGGGAGTGAAAAAGAAAAGCCTTTCCTAAGATTTTGCCTGCCATTCGTGGTTGTTTGTTTTTAAATGAGTACTTACATTAAAAAGAATTAACTTACATTAAAGAGTCTGATTCAATCAGGGGTGCCATTTAGTCAATAGATAATTTTTAAAACTTGATTTAGCTAACCAATTAATTGGTTAAAGTCAAATCAAGAATCATTGACGGGCACAACATTCAAATGGCACCAAAGAGTGGCGTGAATGTAATCTTCAACGGCACCTCAAAATGCCTTTCCTTCAGCAGGGCCAGACATTGCTATTACATGCAGGTAAGAATAACAACTTGCACCCAACTAATTTCTACTCAAAGTAGACCCTCTGAAATTAATGGATCTGCGTTAGTCCATTAATTCCAGTAAGTCTACTCTAGAGTATGACTTACATTGAATACCACCCTATATTGTGCACATTGATAACTCTACATTACCAGGCAGAACAAAATGTTCCTCTTCCAGTACAGCCTTATACACACCTACTCAGAAGCAAGCCTTGGTTTTTTTGTTGGGCTTACTCCCATGTAAGCATGAGGAGAGCCATAACAATTATTATCCCAACGAAGCAGACCCAGGTCTGTGCAGTTCCCATTTCCATCCTGGAGTTGCATCTATCTGGTTAATTGGCCCTTTCCTAAGAATATACGAAGAGCCCTGCTGGGTCAGAGCAAAGCCCACTTAGTCCAGCATCCTCTTCTGCTAGTGACAAAGCCCCAGTCTGACATAGGCAATGGACTTTGGCTCTCTTGGTGCTTTCCAATTACTGGCATCTTGCTCCAGATTTGCAGTAATGGTTGGCCCTCTTGTTACTACTTTAGGAAAAGACGCTGCTATTGCCCTCTGCCCCCGCAATGACAGTCTAATTGGCACTGACTTTTCTTTTTTCTTTTAATAGTATTTTTTAAAGGATCTATCCTTGCCACCCTCTCTTCATTCTGTTTCGTGGTCCCTCTCAGTGGACACAAATGCTCTGATTTCATGTCCAATTGCTGCTACCTGCTGTCACGATTTGACCTACTCAAACTCCCAGGCGCGCCCAAAGTAGCTCTTTGGAACCCGGCCATTATTTGTAATAACCTCTCCCTTCTGTTTTTATAATCAGGTAGGTCTTGTGCCAACGGAAATCTGGCCAAATAGGGGAACAATGATCTAACAGCCACGCTGTTGTGCTGGGTGAGCAGTGCCGTAGCCAGAGCATTTGTGGTTCAAGCCACACCATACTCCCTCTGTCCCACCCAGTCTTCATTGTGGGGAGTATAATACCGGTCTAATTTACAGGATGGTTGAACATGCAAGCTGGCTTTGAACATTTAAGGTGCGCTATGTTAGGTGCAAAAGGACGCGGGTGGCACTGTGGGTTATACCACAGAACCTAGGTCTTGCCGATCAGAAGGTTGGCGGTTCGAATTCCTACGACGGGGTGAGCTCCCGTTGTTTGGTCCCTGCTCCTGCCCACCTAGCAGTTCGAAAGCACCTCAAAGTGCAAGTAGCTAAATAGGTACTGCTCCGGCGGGAAGGTAAACGGTGTTTCCATGCGCTGCTCTGGTTCGCCAGAAGCGGCTTTAGTCCTGCTGGCCACATGACCCGGAAACTGTACGCCGGCTCCCTGGGCCAGTAAAGCGAGATGAGCACCGCAACCCCAGAGTCGGCCACGACTGGACCTAATGGTCAGGGGTCCCTTTACCTTTTTACCTTGTATTAGGTGCAAAGCAGTTTTAGAAAAATAAAACCAAGATATTTGAGGATGCGCAAATCAGACAGTGCTTCTAGTCCAGCATCCTGGGTATTCAGAGGTATTGACTTCCTCTGGCATAAAGGAAAATATGAAAGCAATGTATCCATCCCTCTTAATTTCTGTGGTGTCGTGCTTGCTTGATTTTTAAAAAGCATTGCTTATTGAACATTGGCGTTACCAGATCAGCTTCTTTAAAGCCCCTTCCTTCCTCCCAGCTGCCGAATTCTAAACTGTCATAATTCCAGCTATTTAAATGAACGCACACCCTTCCCTCCCCCTGAGAACTCTGTTCCCCTCAGCCACCGTCCACCCTAAGATTGTGGGGATACGGTGTGCTGTGATGAGCACCGAAAATTGTGGAAACTTTGCCGATGTTTGGAGGGGGCCTTATTGCTCTGTGGTAGAACCTCTTTTCATGCATACGGTCCTGAATCCAACCCCCCAGTTAAAAGGTCTCAGGTAGCAGTGATGGGAATTATCTCTGCTGGAGACCCCAGATATTGGCTTCCAGGGAGCTAGATGGGCAAATTGTTTGACCTGGTATAAGGAAACATCATCGGTTCCTGAGAGAGTGAAAGGAGCTCAGTGGTAGCGCACTCTGCTTTGCCTGCAGAAGGTCCCAGGTTCAAACCCCTGCATGTCCAGTCAAAATGGATTAACAGGTGATGTGAAAGACCTTTCTCTGCCTGAGGCACTGGAGAGCTGCAGCCTGTCAGATGATGCAGTTCTGGTCTAGATGCTGTAAAGCACCTTCCTATGCTCCTACAGTACCGTATTGGCCCAAATATAAGCCACACTTTTTTTTTTCAAAATTCCGACCATGAAAAGTTAAAGTGCAGCTTAAATTCACAACCTTACAAAAATTGGCTTTTACGATATCACTGCTGAAACAGACATACATTAAAATTGAACAAAAAATGTTTTATTGCCAATTTGCGAGCTTGAGTGCCTGCAGAATTGTAGCGATTTTAGCGATTGTACGGTAATCTTTGTGGGCTTGCAAGATCAAAGGCTTAAATTGGCTCGCAGCAATTTTCACCCTGTAACCCAATTTTAAGGGAGTGGCTTATATTCGGGTATTATCTTTTTTCCTTTTTTCCTCTTGAATTTTAAAGGTGCGGCTTATTTGCGGGTGCTGTTTATATTCGGGCCAATACGGTATATGACTTGCTAGTTGGAGAAGGTGCCACATTGGGTCATTGAGCCTTACCTACAAGAAGGGATGGAAGGATCTTTCCGTTTCATTTCTCCCAGCTTCTCATTTTTCCAATTTTACATTCAGTTCTCCACATTTTTACAGCAATCTGCAAATTTGTTTTTAAAAAATCCTCATGAAAATTATTCGGCACTTTATTTCAAATCTTCCCCAATAAACTGATTTTTGTATGCTGTTTTGACTAACGCACAGATTTTTGCAAGTTAATTTCCCCTAATGCATTTCTGTATGTTATAAGTAAGTCAGGGAAGTCATAGTACCACTCTATTCTGCCTCAGTCAGACCACACCTGGAGTACTGTGTGCAGTTCTGGGTACCATCTGTCTGCATGGCCACCTGTCTTGGATGCTTTGGTTGAGATTCCTGCATTGCAGGGGGTTGGAATAGATGACCCTCAGGGTCCCTTCCAACTCTACAATTCTATCGTTCTATTAAAAGACAATTGCTGGTTATTACATAACTTTCATATGTGATAGGTTAAACAAACAGCTGTATTTCTTATGCTCACTTAAGTGCTGGAATCTGACCGAAAACCACAAGTATGAATGATGAAGGAGCTTTCATAATTTGGGAGTTATGAGCAGCATCCCAAGAGACATGAAAGTAGCTTCTGAGCACTTTCCGTTCATAGCATATCGTTGACACATGGCATGTCACATGGCATGGTGTTGTGATGGACAAGCCTAGCGTAAGTGGCTTCTTTGAAAAAGCATTGGGCAAACCAATGATCTATGGACAGCATGCAGCTAAAACGGTTAAAAGAGAGGACACCCCTCAGATCATCAGATGTTGGGGACAGGGCTGCCTGTCTCCATCCAGTGCTCTTCTGGGAGAGGAGTAGGGACACCTGGCCAGTTCCTATTATAGGCAGAGTAAAGGTTTTCACCAGCCGTCACCAAGCTGTGGCTTCCAGACATTTTTAGCTACAACTTTCATCAGCCTCATCATCCCACAGCAACATCCTGTGGACTTAATTGGCAAGACCTGGATTTAAATCCCCACTCAGCCATGAAGTGCCAGGGGACCTTTGGCCCACTGTCACTGCCTTACCTACCTTGCAGGGTTGTTGTGAAGGGGGAAAGTGGGGAGGATCTGCCCCAAGCAGCCCACAGGAGCCTTATTAAATCAGAGAACTCTAATCAACAATCCAGTATCAGCATCTCCCGGCTGTGGCCAGGTGGGAGTAGTTTGTAAGAGGAGAAAGAAGAAAGGGTTTGTACCTGCTGAATCCTGAAATTCCAGGGCATGGAGAAGGCTCCCCATGCAATCACCTGCTAGCTCCTTTTCCCACGCAGAGAAACCTGGATCTCTAGGGCCATGCGCATGTTGCAATTGTCATACCTTGGTTAATCATCAACTAGCACACAGCTATCTACAAAGACCCTGAAGCAGCAAACAGCACAGAGCAGGAGACCGAGCACTTTCAGTTTTTCCCGTGGGGATCCCACGCCTGGGACATCCTTTCGGAGCTCTGCCACTGGAGGGCTCAGCCAGCCTCCGAAAATAATAAAAACCACGCTGGGACTGGAAGCCCAGTGATTTCACAACCTGGGCAAGAGCAATTCAGTGCCAGGTACAATTGCGGAGAGGCAACCCGGGTGGACTTTAAGCCTCTGGATTGGACTTGATAGAATGGCAGAGAATGACCCACCGGTCACAGGCACCCTGGGAGAGAACTTTCCACAATCATCTTCACGTTCCGTTCCACAGCCAGCTTTGGTTAAGGCCACCCTGGGCTCCTGCTGAGTCACATCCTCCCAGTGCCTCATCTTTTTTATATGCCTATAAGTAACTTATTTGTAATTACGGCTCAATTCCATAGGCAGTTTCAGATTTGCTCATGGAATTTGCTTGCTGCCACAGGACGTGTTGACGGCCACCACCTTAAGGCAGCTTTCCAAAAAGGAGGAGACCAACCACAGTTAGCAATCCAATATCTGAATGGAGCCTCCATATGTATGCAGGGATAGTGCTTTAAGCCATTCTATTATTTCTATATTGTTTTATTTCTATACAGTGGTACCTCGCAAGACGAATGCCTCACACGACAAAAAACTCGCTAGACGAAAGGGTTTTTTGTTTTTTGAGCTGCTTCGCAAGACAATTTTCCCTATGGGCTTGCTTCGCAAGACGGAAACGTCTTGCAAGTTTGTTTCCTTTTTCTTAACACCGTTAATACAGTTGCGACTTGACTTCGAGGAGCAACTCATAGCACGCGGTGTGGTATCCTTTTTTGAGGTTTTTAAAGACTTTGGTGATTTTTGAAGCTTTTCCAAAACTTTCCCGACACCGTGCTTCGCAAGACGAAAAAAATCGCAAGACGACAAAACTCGCGGAACGAATTAATTTCGTCTTGCGAGGTACCACTGTATTTGATTCCATTTATGAATTGCTTCCCGCAAAATATCCCAAAGTGATTTCACAGTTAAAAAAAAAATCAAGAAAAATAGCATCAACAAATTTATGGGCTGATAATGAAAAAAACACTTTCCAAGTGGCCCAGCACTGGACGGCTGATGGCAAGTAAGCAACAGCCCGTCTAACTGTGGACCTTTAAAAAAAGAAAGACCATGCAGCCATGTCAAGAGTTTGGGGCAGCAGGTATCTACTAAACAAGCCTTCGCCATCCTGGTGCCCGGCAGATGCTTTGGCCCATGGGTCCCATCAGTCCCAGCTGATGGTGATGTTGGGAGTCGTGGTCCAAACATCTGGAGGGCGCCAGGTTGGCAAAGACTGCACTAAACCCCTTGGGGCTCACTTCCCCCTGGGACTGGCTCCTTCGCCATCTGCCGTTCTGCCCGTCACCACCCAACACTTTCCAGGTCCTCCAGTGAACAGCATCAAGGATAAGAGTTTATTACTATCTATTTTTGTTCTGAGCCGCTGGAAAGGTCACTCTTACGCAAACACAGGCTGGCTGGCTGTTCCTCAACAGCTGGAAGCACCACTAATAAAAAACATACAACCTGGAAAGTGCACCCGGCTTTGGGGCTGCTCTTTTTCTCAAGCGCAGCTTAAGCCTTGAAAGGGGCTCTGGGAGACATTTGGAGGGTTCAGGCACACCTTTGCTCAGAGGCAAGCTAAGGGAAAAGAGGCTTCTCTGCTGTGGAACATGGGAAGGAGATATACGAGGCAGAACACTGGGCCCTCCAGCATAGCATCTACAGTGGCCGGCTCCCAGTGGTTTGAGCCTTTCTGCAGATGCTGGGGATTAAATCCGAGACCCTCTGCTTACATTATCACCAGTGCTATTTTTCTAGGTGCCAGAGCTGAGATCCTGTGAGCTCTGGCTGGGGAAAAAAACCCCCTGCTTACCACTGAGCTGTGGTAACAGATTCCAGTCACCTAAAAGGTAAAGGTAAAGGTACCCCTGCCCGTACGGGCCAGTCTTGCCAGACTCTAGGGTTGTGCGCCCATCTCACTCTATAGGCCGGGAGCCAGCGCTGTCCGGAGACACTTCCGGATCACGTGGCCAGCATGACGAAACTACTCTGGCGAGCCAGAGCTGCACACGGAAACACCGTTTACCTTCCCGCTGGTAAGCGGTCCCTATTTATCTACTTGCACCCGGGGGTGCTTTTGAACTGCTAGGTTGGCAGGCGCTGGGACTGAGCAACGGGAGCTCACCCCCTCGCAGGGATTCAAACCGCCGACCATACGATCGGCAAGTCCTAGGCGCTGAGGTTTAACCCACAGTGCCACCCGCGTCCCATTCCAGTCACCTAGGTTGTTAATAAAGGGCTGATCTGACTAGAAACATGGGGAGCTGCTTTATGCAGAGTCAGGCAATTGGCTCATCTCAGTTGGTATTGCCCATGTAGCCTGGCAGTGGCTCTCTCCTGTTCCAGGCAGGAATCTCCTCCATCCATACCTGGAGATGCCACAGACTGAACCCAGGACCTCCTGCCCACAAAGCAGGCTCCCTGCTTCTGAGCTATGGGCCCTTCCCCCAGAGCTATTAGGGTCCCCCCATTCATTTGAGTAGTCTGACTTATTCAGCAAAAGCTGCCTGGTACAGGATCAGGCCATATGTCCATCTAGTTCAATAATGTCTACACTGACCGGCATCAGCTTGCCAGGTTCTCAAGCAGAACGCTATCCCAGCCCTACTTGGGGATGCCGTGGAGTGAACTTGAGACCCGTTGCATGAATAGCGTGTGTTATACCACCAACCCTTGCCCCTTAGCTGCAAAGATGGGAATGGACTTTTTACCCAGGAAGCCTCTTGGCTGATAGTTGGTTGCTATGGAGGAGAAGTGCCAGGGGTCAGTATAGAAAACAACATCTAATCAGCGATCTCCAGGTGTGGAAGTTGGCTGTGCTTTTAAGTTCATGAGGAGGAAAAGGCACTTTCTGTAAGCTCAGGTGCTCCTTAACTTTCAGTTTTCCTCACAAGAACTGGCACTAACAAAGTCCTGGCACTAACACCACGCCCGCCCGCCCCCCCCGACAAACTCTAAAAATCAAGCATTTCCTGTAGGATGCATCCTGCAGGGGTTGAATCCAGACTTTGCTTTAGGGAGCATTTTTAGTAGTCACCCACACTTTACCCATGCCAGACCCCTGCCAAAATAACACCTGAGATTTCACCCCTTCAGTTTTTCAGACTCTCATGGGAAAGAGTGCAGAGTCCTCCCGACCTCAGGAATGAATGTATATGGGTAGCCTGGCTGTTATCTAACTGTAGTTCATGTAGCTTTGAGTGGGGATTACTCAGGGTGATTTATTTGCAAAAGGAAACTTTGCCGTAGGCCAAGGCAATTGCATTTAAAATGCATCTTGCAGGCCAGGGATAGCTGGTCTTCGAGGCCACTCTGTTGGGCCCCTCACAGCCAAACACCAAATCTTCATCAAAGTACAGCTTAAAAGTTTTTCCCCGGTTTCACTTGCAAAAAAAGAGAACCATTTCTCTCCCTCACCCAGTGGTAAGAAAACAAATAAACCCACCCACAAACATGCACACAATTTAATGGAGGCTGGTACATTCCTGACTTATCAAAGCCAAGCCCATCAACCATGGATTGTGGTCCGATAGGGGTTGGCAGCCTCACCTCCACCATTTTGGCAGCAGAACCAGAAAGTAGGGCTCTTTGAATGGGGCTAGTGGGTCTGTGTTTGTTTTTGTGAGATAATATTTCCCTTCTCTTTTGGATTCAGTACATAACTCAAATGCCTTATGTCACTGCGCTTAGCTGCGCTTCATTTTATGCCCAAGAGCACTTGCTTTAGTCACTGGGGAGTCTTCAGTGCTAGATGGGGCCAACTTCCTTTGGAAGAATGGATGCTTGGAACAGGGTTTAGCAAAATACGTTTCAAAAATCTGCTACCGTGGGGAGGAATTCGGTTCAGTTTGGATTTCAATGCAAAACTAGCAAATTAGCAATTCCCCAAAGCAAACTGGAACACAACTGTCCTTTGAAATTCTCACACTAACCTGAAATTTGCGGTGCAGTTCAGCAAACACATATTTTGCTTGGAGTGCATAAAAACCACATACATTTGTGAAAATAACAAATGAAGCATTATACTAAGGGAAATCACTGGCAAAAAATCTGTACGTTACGAGAAATTTCAGTCCTAATTTGCTGATTAATTTTCATTAGGACTTTTAAAGATAATAATAATAATTGCAAGTTAACGCAGAAATATGGAGAACAGAATTTAAGGCTGGAAAAATGAGAAACTAAGAGAAATAGACAAATACATTCATCCCTACCTGGGCTACAGTCTGTGCAATAAAGTGACCCCTCCAATGTCACAGAAGGGATGGAAGCTGTTGAGCAATCTCTTCATACCAAGTCATGCTCTTGGTCTTTCTAGCTAGCAGTGTCTGGGTTCATAGTCCGAGAGGATGTTTCCCATCACATGCTAGCTTATCCTTTTAACAGGAGAGACCAGAGATCAAAGCAGAGACCTTATTCCTGCAAAGCATACACTCTGCCCCCTGAGCTGTGACCATTCTGCGCCATATTACCAGATCTGGTGAGTCGTCCACTTGGCCCAATGTTGTCTACTCTTGACTGGCTGCGGTTCCCCATGCAGAGAAGGGTCTTCTCGCATCACATGCTCCCTGGTCCCTTTCTCACTAGAGGTGCTGGGGGTGAATGGGCTCATGCCTGCAAAGCAGAGGCTGCTACCAGAGAGTTATGGACCTCCCCTAAAAGAGAGAAGGATCCACCCCATAGCAACCTTTAAGAACCGCGTTCTGGGTTCAGGCAGAGGCATCCATCCATTTCCATCTAAAACCCAAAGGATGGGATTTGCTCTCAAAATCTGTTCCAGCCCCATGCAAACCTCATTGACCCCGGGTCATGCTTCTCTGCCACTCCAAAACTTTGGCTCAGATTACTTCCTTCCCTTTCCCTCTCCTCACTTCTAAGAAGTCTTCCTTGACCTCAACCTTGTTTTTCCTGAAGATTGTAGGTCCATTTATGAAACCATTCCCCACTTCATTCTTGCTGCGCTTGTGAAGTCTTGACTTGTTCATTCATCCTGTCTCTTTCTCTCTCCTCTCCCTCCGCCCTCGTCTGCCCTTACATTTCAGATGCACTGGGGTGCTGTGGCTTTTTGCCTGTGTGCTAAGTGCCAGCCGTGTTTTAAAGCTTGTTTTTAGTATCTTTTGGGGGTCAATCATAGCTTCCCAGTCAGAACAAAAACAGTCTCTGAAGTTCTTCCCAGCTTAGACAACAAGCTCAGGAGCCAATTGTCTAGAAAAGCACAAACCTTCAATTTTCCACAATTGAGTCTATGTTTATTATTATTGTTATTTATTATGGTCTGCATTCCTGACGAATCTGTGGAAATTCCAGACTCCTTTGGGCAAAGACCTTTTTTCGCTATTTTTCACATTCAAGCCGTGCGCAGCTTGAGGGAGACCAGCTCTTGACGGGCTCCCTCACAGCAGAAAACAAACTTTAAAATGTTTTGCCTTGGAAGATCTGTTGTTTGTAGAAAGGACCAAAAGAAATTTGTGGACTGTGGGAATATGAACTGTT